GTATTTTTTTTTTTTTGAGTTGGAGTTCTGTTACCCAGGCTGGAGTGCAGTGGCATGATGACTCACCACAGTCTCAGCCTCCTGGACTCAGGTGATCCTTCTGCCTCAGCCTTTCAAGTAGCTGGGATTGTAGATTATAGGTATGTGCCATTGTATCTAGCTAATTTTTTTATTTTTTTGCAGAAACAAGGTCTCACTATGTTGCCTAGGCTGGTCTTGAACTCCTGGCTTCAAGTGATCCTCCTGCCTCGGCCTACCAAAGCCACCATGCCCAACCAAGAAAGCTTGTTGTCCATAATCATCCCCCCCACAGCGTAACTACCCTTAGCTCTTTGGTGTAGATTTTCTTCTGATAGGAGAGATCCCTATTTTTTTTCCTCTATGATAATAACATTTATTAGGGCCTTTTTTTTTCCTGATTAAAGAGGTAATGTGTTTACTGTGGAAAGTTTGAAACTTTATAGAAAAATGAGAAGTCACTCATATTCAGCCCTGAAGTGGCCTGTCCTGTGTGGTATTTCATCTTCAGGGTTTCAGTGACATCATGAGAGTCAGAGCCCAGTCAAGCCTGGGCCCTGGGCTGGGGCTGGCCTTGGCTTCTCTCTCCCAGGACTGTCACTGCACCCTTCATCCTCTGGTCCTTGCTGGCTCCTACATCTGGGTCCTGAGGGAGGCCAGTGTAGGCCAGGCTGTCTGCTGACATGTGGGTGGGGTCAGGGCCTTCTCCAAGGAGAGCAGGGCCTGGGTGCAGATGGCATGTGGCTGGCTAGGAGGCAGGCGCCCACATTCCTGCCTGTTGGCCTCCTGAATACTGCTGAGATACTGCTTATGTGTTCTTGGCAGGCCCATTACTCCACGGGGAAGGTCAGCGCTTCCTTCACCTCCACTGCTATGGTTCCAGAGACCACGCACGAAGCAGGTAGCTGCCTTTGGGGATTGTTACCAGCTGTGCAGCCTGACAGTGGCGGCAAGGGGTGGGCACCCTCTCCCCTGACCACTCTCAGCAGTGCTGTTGTGCTTGTGCCTTGTGGCCTCAGACAACATGGTCTTGGGCAATGCAGGAGTGGCTGGGCAGGGCTGACCCTGTTGATAGTGAGCTTTGAGTTGGAGAGAGGAGACTGCAGTGAGGGCCAGGCCCTTCCCCACTATGTGGCCCTGGCCCTGTCTCATGGTTCCTCATCACTGAGGCTGCCACAGGCACCTTGGCCCTCCAGAGCCAGGGCTGCCCTTGGCATTGTCCTCCTGTGGTCTTAGTCCGTCAGTGGACCCCTCTTTCCCCTGAGCGCCCATCATCTCACTCCCACTCTGCCTGCTCAGCCTCTGTCCAGGCGTTTCCAGTGCCCCTTCTTAACTGCTGGCCCCTCTACCCATGAGGCCCAGGGGAGGCTGTGCACAGCTGGGGGAGACCCTTAGCCTCTAGCTCCCGTACTCTCCCCAGAGCTGGGGCCTTGTCCCTGGTCAGATGCTTGCCCTTGAAGCCTATGCATCCAAGGCCTGTGGTGCCTGGCGTAGTGGGGCTGCCCCAAGGCAGGGTGGGCATCGAGCTGGAGCCTCTGCTTGCAGCCGCCATCGACGAGGATGTGCTGCGCTACCAGTTTGTGAAGAAGAAGGGCTATGTGCGGCTGCATACCAACAGGGGTGACCTCAACCTGGAGCTGCACTGTGACCTGGTGGGTGTGGCAGTTGGTCCCCCTTCCCCCACAAGGGTCATTTCTGGGGTTGTTTGACAGTTATGTCATAATACGGAGCTGTCATTAGAACACACTTGTAGAAAATTCAGCTTATGCCTAAGAAGGATCAGTGGTGTCCTGCGTCCTCTCCAGGGGCCCTGTTGGTGAAGGGGGCCAGGCCCTGCCACTGCTTTGTCCATGTGTTCCCCCCACCCCCCGCCATCCCTTGCAGTCACATGGCTGCATAGTCAGCTTTGTGCGCCCTTCCCTGTTGGCTAGCAGCTGACTGTCTCTGCTGCATGATGCAGTCCCTCATGGCTTTCATGACCAGCTCTTGGCAGCTCTGTGCTCATAAAAGTATCGGGGCTCTTTTGCAGACACCAAAAACCTGTGAAAACTTCATTCGGCTTTGCAAGAAGCATTATTACGACAGCACCATCTTTCACAGATCCATCCGGAACTTCGTGGTGAGTGAAGCGAGTCACAGCTACACAGACATGCTTGGTGGGACATCGGGGGACTGGATGGGCTCACTCCTGCCCCATTCCTGTCCCTGCCCCGTCTCAAGCACCTGGGCCAGGCCATGGTGACTCCTCTGTCAGGGAGTGTGCAGGCCAACCCTCACATCTCTAACTCAGGTAGAACTGGGCTCACGCAGGGAGGTGGCTGGGAGGGCCCTTGTCTCCACTAAGAGCCCAGACTCCTTGTGGAGTCCACCTAGCAGGTGGGGGTTCAATGAGTAGAGTGGGCCATCAGGTGGGCCTTGGGCAGGACTTATGCACTGGCTTTTTTTCTTGCAGATTCAAGGGGGCGATCCCACAGGCACAGGCACAGGTAGGTATTGGTGTTTATCCCTCCCTGGGCATCTTGGTGGCTCTGTGGGATATGAAGGAGTAGATGGATGGGGGCTGTGCAGAGAGCTCTAGGTGTGGACTCTTCTAGACCAGGGGTGGAAACACACACAGCCACCAACATTGTGACCCCTCAGGCAGGGGCCTCGGCTTCCTCATTTCCAGGTGGTTGTGAGGCCTACATGGTTGATGGGGAACAGGAGGCATCCGCTTTGGACCTGGCCAGCCTTCCCTCTCTCAGCCAGCCAAGCCCACTCCGCCTGGCAGTGGCTTGCCCTTGCCACAACCTGAGCAATATAATGACTGTGGCCCTGACCCTTTATCCCTGTCTTGGGGCAAGCCCTGTGTGGGGCTGGGGTATGTGGTCAGCAGTCTGACTCTGTGGAGGCACAGGGGCTTTGAAGGGCCTGGGAGTTGGCACTGCTGTATTCCAGGGTCGAGGGCTGCCCTCTCAGGGGTTTCTGTCTTAGCCTGGGCCCAGCATGCACCTGACACCCCTCAGGACTCAGGTTTTTAGGGCTGGCTAAGCTGAGGCCCAGGCTTTCCTCTCTTTTACAGGGGGGGAGTCATACTGGGGAAAGCCCTTCAAGGACGAGTTCCGGCCCAACCTGTCGCACACGGGCCGGGGCATCCTCAGCATGGCCAACTCGGGGCCCAACAGCAACAAGTCTCAGTTGTGAGTTGGCTGGCCTTGCTGGGCTGGCTGGGGTGGGCCTGGGGAGGGGACCCGGAACTCCCTGTGGGCTATTGCTCTGTGCTGATCCTGAATCAAGCCCAGACAGAGTGCAGCACACCTGCATTCAAAAGGGAGCCCCAGAGCAGGCCAGCAGGGATAGCTGTGCATGGCAGTGTGTGCCCTGAGAGAGCAGAGGTCACTGCTCACTGGGAGGTCCAGAAAGTCCTCTTGGTAGGGATCAGGCATGTATCTGTGACCAGGCAGTGCTGGGGGAGGTCAGTGACCTAGTCGGTGTGTTGAGAAGGGATGTGCAGGAGACAGGCTGGACAGGGAGAGGTACCATACAGACATGGGAAGTTAGGGTGTGTGTGTGGGGTACAGGGTGCAAGCTGGTGAGAGGGACGAGGGCTGGCAGGGGCTATGGAGGGACACCCGTACTGTGGAAGAATAGACATGCATTCCTGTCATCTGGGAATGTGGTTTGACGTTCCCTTTGGAGATGTGTCTGTCTTTTAATGCGATTTCATGGTTTTCTTCATATGGGTCCCCTGCCTTTCTGGATAAAGCTACTCCTTGAGAATATTTTCTATAATTTGTAATGCTTTTGTAAATTAGTTTTTTTTTTTCTAATTTTAGATTATTGTTCATGTAGAGAAAAGCCACTGTTCATTTTCTATCTAGTCACTTAATCAAATTCTCTTATAATTTAAACAGCTTTTAAGAATTCCTTGGATTTTGTAGATAACCAAGCTTATCAGCAAATGGTGGTGTCCTCTCTACTCCCCTGGCACATCAGTCATGTCACTGTTGGGGAGGAGGAAGTGGGCATCTTGCTGTGCTCTGTGAAATGCTGTTTTGCCATCTGATAACATGTGTCATGGAGCCTTTTTTTTTTTTTTTTTTTTTTAAGGAGAGGTGGCTGAATTTCTAGAGGTTTTTTTCCTTAGCATCTGTCAGAATGGTCATACTCTTTTCTGGTCCTCCTGGAATTTGTGGATGTTGCCACTGCAAGGCCAGCATGAACGGGCCTTTCTGGCTGTGTCTCTGTGGTACTCTGGGGTAAACTCTGGCCTGCTGTGGCTGCCCTATGGACTTCCTCCGGCTCCAGCAGGTTTTGGTGTGAGTGGGGCTAGCTGTTGCCTTGTGGCCTGGAATAGTGCTGACTCCTCTGGCTCTTGCTTCTGGGGCCCACAGGGTGACTGATGTTTGGCCAGATTCCGATTCCCATACTCTTGATTTCCGTGAGCTTCATGTCTCCAGGTCCCTCTTGGTGCCCTCATTTCTTTTCCTTGTTTCTAAGCACATTTTCCTTGCTTATCTGATGTTGTAAAGTTTTGTCTTTTTCTTTTTCTTTTTTTTTTTTAAGTTGCAGTCTTACTCTGTCATCTAGACTGGAGTGCAGTGGCCGCTTTTGGCCACCGCAGCCTCGACCTGCTGGGCTCCGGCGATCCTTCCGCCTCAGCCTTCCAAGCAGCTGGAACTACAGGTGCGTGCTGCAACACCTGGCTGATTTTTGATTTATTGTAGAGATGAGGTCTCGCCAAGTTGCCCAGGCGGGTCTCGAACCTGCGGGCTCAGGCAATCCACTCACCTCAGCCTCCCAGGGCGTGGGATTACAGGCTGAGCCACTGAGCCTGGCTCTTTTTCTATTTTTTTTTTTAGTTGGAGTCTCGCTCTGTCGCCCAGACTGGAGTGCAGTGGCCGCTCCTGGCCACCGCAGCCTCGACCTTCTGGGCTCCGGCGATCCTTCCGCCTCAGCCTTCCAAGTAGCTGGAACTACAGGCGCACGCTACCATGCCTGCCTAATTTTTTTGATTTTATTGTAGAGATGAGGTCTCGCCAAGTTGCCCAGGCGGGTCTCGAACCCGCGGGCTCATGCAATTCACTCACCTCAGCCTCCCAAAGGCGCGGAATTACAGGCTGAGCCACCAAGCCCGGCTATCTTTTTCATTTTGTCTTCAACTGATGCCTCTCAGGGTCTCTGTGCCTCTTCCGTTCTGGCTTACCATCTGGCTCTTGGCCATGAAGACAAGCACCTCAGCCATTTGGTGGGGAGTGCACATACCATCTCCATTGCCTGTTGTGATACCTTCCTTTTAATTCTTTCTGTTCTCAGGTCAGCTGGGTGTGTGATTGGTTGTTGTTTGGAGGGGGGCTGCCTTATCGTTGACGGCTGATAATGAAGTCTTCTTTGTACCAAACCTGAGAAGAAGGTTGTTGTGTCTATCCTACCTTGATCTGTGGATTTCTTCCCTGGATGCGGCGCCTATACCTGTGAAGGCTGCGGCGTTCTCTTGCAATCATAGGGTGAGCCTGTTGGGCTACCATTATTTCACCCCTTCGGCAGCCTGAGTTTGATCCCTACAGTCAGCGTTGCACACACTCTGTTGGCACAGAGGAGGCAAGCCACAGAAACAGAA